TTTATGCAGTTCAAAAGAGGTCAAAATTGCCTTCGACAAACGTGGAAAATGACTCAGCGCCTTGCACATCTTCTTGAGTCCTGATTATTCAAAATGAACCAATTCCAGAAATTCCAGCCAGTAGGATGAAAGTGTCTTTTTGGGTTTTAACACACAAAATTGTAATGTTATTATTTATTGCCATTCATGCTTTTTTAAAAAGGTAGATTACTGAAAACAATATGATGGCAATTATTATTCACACTTACTGGTTTGCCATTTGGCAAACACTACACTTTGATCATTTAAAGCGGCTCCAATGAATATTTTATATTAACATGTATTACATGTATATTTATTATATGTGTAATGTGAAAGTGGTTGCTCTTAGTGAAAAACCTGCAGAGAATTAGAACCTGACCCTGCAGTTCCCCTCGGCTGTTACCGCTTTTGTTCATTCTCACTGCTCTCATCAACCCATCAACACAGGGTCTTCTCAGCTGAAGACTTAAATCATCAAGTTTTTGGGAGCAGCCCTAGTTTTTTATTTTTTAATTCATTTAGATGCTTTAAGTTTGACTTGGGTGGAGAAACTTTTCAGCTTTTGGCTCGCGGTTTTACCGTCTGATTTCTTGTGATCATCAGATGCTGGTTGGAAACTTGATATGTCATTTCAAATTTAAAAAAAAAAATCTGTGCTAATTTATTCATAAAACTCCTTCAAAAATTCATATCAACTAGCTTCAGCAGTAATGGTAGCTGTGTCTGAACATGCCAGTTGTACTAGCCATTCACCAAAAACAGGAGATCATTCAATGAACATGCTCTCTTAGTGTGTTTATGCACAACACTGCAGAGGACCACATTAATGCTGAAACGACTAGTCAATAAATTGATTAGTCCAATGGACAGAAAATTGAGTAACAATTACGATAATACATTCATCATTTAAATATTAATCAATCAAAAATTCCAGCCATTCTTTGGTTTTAGCCTCTCAAATGGGAGGATTTGTGGATTATCTGTGTATTATATAATTGTAAAGTGATTATTTTTCAGTTTTCAAGGGTTATTTGTACAAAACAAGAAAAATTGACAATATGGGCTTGGGCAGTGGAAACTTGGATGGGCATTTTTCATTATTTTTTCTTATTTTATACTTTTATACAATACACGATTACAAATAATAGTCATCAGAATAATGAATAATGAAAACAATCCTCAGTTGCTGCCCTAGACCATATTATTTTTAATTATGTTATATCCAAGGGAAATTTATTTATTAATCAGGTGTTATATGAAACAATTGTATGCTATGATACAATATGAGGAATTAGCCAACATTATGAAGTCAAATGTGAAGTCAAATCCCCTGTCATTGTTCCAAAAAGCATGAAGATATTTGTCCTCTGCTTTTTTAGTTTCTTACCTCCATAATTCAGTTTGGGAACATGAAAGTGGATTGTGGCTACTGACCCTCTTTTGCTTTAATTATGTGTGCCCTGTATTTAGATCCATTTATTTCAAGGCTACGTGACTTAACAGTGGTTCATTTATGCCACCTGCCTCTCTTTTATTAGGTAGAATTATGCAGGTCATCTGTACAGGCATAATATCAGAGCTATTCAGTTTTGTTTTCTTTTTTCTTGCCAGAGCGTTTATTCAGGGAGAGAGAGAGAGAATTTTTTGGATTCTGACAGAGGCAGTTGCTCAATTACAATAGAGTCACTGTGGCATACACGTGAATTTGGCCCATTTTGAGCTCACAGAGTGAAGTGAAAATGAGAATGCAGTTGTCTCTCCTGAGGACAATTAAAATAGATAAACTCTCAAAGAGATAGCACTCTATCTGGATAGCGTGTGGTCAAAAAGAGAAATTAATTCTTTTAGAAGATGATTAGTCAGCCTCTTTTGATAAATTGGAGGGATGATTATGTATGGTCTGCTTTACTTTAGAGGTTTGTTAGTTCATTCTAGTAGTACTCTGTTTGTCCTGATTTTTAGCAGAGCAAAATAATTTGTAATAGCTATACATATTCCACTTTTACTGTTATAAATCTTATCAGACCTGATAAGCAATTCATTCGGGCCAATGCAGCAGTATAAAATCCTCCCACAGCACAATTGTGTCCATATTTCATTACACAATACAAACTTTTTTTCAGCAAATAAACTATATACCACTCACCACTCTGGATGTATTGCTCACCTTGGCCTTTGATCAATAAATAAAGCTTTCAGGGGAGACAGAGTATTTGCTAAAACTGTGTTGGGACCTTATTTAAGAGTGTGTTTGCCTCCTGCGCGGCTGCAACATCTTTTTTTTTTGTGTGCTGGAAAGCCCCTCATCCTAAAGTAAACAGATGGAGTGGGACCTCAGGTGGATACTGAGGTATTGTTATTCTATAAACAATAAGATCACACCCAGGAAAAAAAAAAAAAAACACAGCTGGAGGCTCTCAATGATTCAAACTGTACCTCCAGTAAGACATTTTGTAGGAAAAAGCAACGTAAAAAATTGCTGCAGCGAATGTCACTCTGCTCGGTTTTATAAATTGCATGCCCAGATGTAATCCATGACCATGACTGCCAAGTACCCTTGTCCCTGTGGCAGGGTTTCTATTCTGCGGACATGTACTTGATTACAACAAACTATTTCCTGAAGCCGTGCTACCACATAATACACATAATGACACACACTGTTTCCTGCCATCATCGCTATTTCATGTTTTGTTTTCCAACTGAAATATTTGTCACAGACTGTCACACTGTGGATTTTGGCCCGAGGCTTGGCCATTCGTCGCCCCTCTGACACAAATCACCGGTGCAGCAATTCCTATTTACAGGACTTTGGGCTTTGCATCGGATTGATAAAGTTTGTTTAGTATTACACTTCAGTAACTTAACAATCACTAATTGGCTGTAAACTGGGGGGGAAAGTCATTTAAATTCACATTTGAATTTCTATTCCGCTTACCTAGAAGGCTGTTACTGGCAATGCATTTTGCAACAGAGACAAGTTATGCATTATTTAGCAACATCATTCAGTTATTGTATTTTTTCCATTATTCATTCAAAACCCAGCCTACAATTCATTTCAGTTCAATTCAATTTACAAACGTATCTTCACACCTCATCAATAATGCTCAGTCAGAGCTGTAAAATGCCTTATTTCCCTGAACATTATGACAAAAACCGAATATGAATCTAACGTAACATGTTCAATGATGCATTTAAGGTATCTGATTCAAACAAATGTCAGATTAGAGAGATTTCAGATATTTAATGTTATTTTCTCTATCTTAAGATTTATCTCGTGCTCTTTTGTGTGCAAATCAGGCGTGTGACATGAAGATGAGATGAGTCTAAAATTGTAAATGACTTGGTTGTAGATTTTGTTGCATATAAATGACGGGATCCAGTCCTTCATGAACAGTAAACAAGAAGAGAATGAGGGGAAATATGAAGTTTGGCTGAATTAACATCTTAACAAGATTTCCTGTAGTGACTGAGACTTTGTCTGCTGTGCTAAAAACTGTGTCCAGTAAGGTTGTGTTCCATTGGATTTTTATTTTGCTGGGGTTTGAGTTTATGTAGGTGATGCCGTTTTTCTTTATGTGTTTGGGTATAGCGGCCCTCTAGTTCCCCTTCTTATGTTTATCTCAGACTATGTGCTGTTGCTGCTTCTAATAACATAAAGCACATTACTCCAGTTTTTCATTATCAAGTTATATTAAAGGTGTACCACTCCAGCAATTAAGTATTATAGTCCCATACATTCTGGGGAGTCACAAGCAGCAGGCTCTACTCCACTGCATTTCAGATATATTTCCCTTTTGTTTATGGGAAGGGTACTGTTCTACAACAAGTCTGGCCTCTTCCAGCTTCAGGTGGTCAACCAAGGTCTGAAGAGCTGTGCAAAGTCACTGGGGTCCCAATGACTGAAGTAGGGGATGCTTGGTCTTGGCCCCTTATGTTGGTGAACAGCTATAGTGTTATAGGGCGGGTTGAGGTGTTGGGGTGGGTGATGATCACAGTGGTTACTTGCTGAGGTAAGGGCTGAGTGTATTGAATGCTGTGGCCAATTGAAGTTAGTCCAAAATGAAAGAAGAAATGTGACAACTGTCTAGCATTTAAATGCTCCAGTGGATTAAGATACTGTAATGTTGGGTCCCCACTATGTGTCAGTGGTGTCTTTATAAGTACATGAATTATCATGACTTTGTGCAACAAAGGTGTAACCTATGATTAATAGTTGCATGGAATTAAATGTATTAAGAATAGAAGGATTTGGTAAAATTATAGTAAAAGGTCACTGAAGTTACACCAAATGTGCTACAGATGCATAAGGACTTTTTACATTTTCTTTATTCACAAAACCACAAGACACTTAACTGTAATTCCTCCTTTTTATAGATGTTACAGTGGAGCTAGCTTAAATTCAGGTTGTCAGTGGATGATAGTATGAGTAATCCTTTCACATTATTATTGCATTTTAATGTAAACTCTTACACAGCAGTAATTGTTTCAAATAGTGATCTTATTCTAACCTTTTTGTCATTTATGTGTCTTTCGAAGAAATTATTGGACTGATGGGAATCTAGGAAAGGCAACCACCAGAATGCTACACTTCCCCCACCTCGTATGATAGCAGAACATATTCTTGTTAGGTTATTTTTGGCATTAAAGCTTTTTAGATTTTGTCAGCCAAGAAAGTAAGACTTCATAACTTTGATTTATCCCCATACATTTTTAAATACAAGGAAGGCAGAGAATACTGTACTGTAAAATGGTGATAAGTTGTTCTAATCTCACCTCTTGTTCATGGATATTTATTTTATTTTGGCTCTTTTTTTTGTAATTTTACTGGTGGAATTTGTTCTCCTGAGCTGCCAACCCCCATATAACTATGACTCAAGCATTGATGTGGCATAACAAATGTGTCTTTGGTGCGTGGAACATTTTTCACTCTCATATCCTGCTCTAAGACTTTAGCTTGTGCTTGTGTGTCTTCTTTGCAGAGATCCGCGAGGCCTTCAAAGTGTTTGACCGCGATGGGAATGGGTTCATCTCAAAGCAGGAGCTGGGGATGGCCATGCGCTCTCTGGGCTACATGCCAAACGAAGTGGAGCTGGAGGTCATCATCCAGAGACTGGACATGGACGGTGAGGCAAACACACGGCTTGGATTTTACTATCTTAAGCCGCAAAGCACAGAAGCAGTTTGCTTTCTATTCACCCACAGTGGGGTAGTAGGCAGTTAAACTACCGACGATAAAAACCAACTGTTCCTCTTTTCCGCAGGCGATGGCCAGGTGGACTTTGAGGAGTTTGTCACTCTTCTGGGCCCAAAGCTAACAGCAGCTGGGATGCCAGATAAATTCAACGGCACTGACTTTGACTCCGTTTTTTGGAAGGTGCTCATTATTCAGTCACTCATTTCCTGCCTATTAGAGAGAAGATAGACAGCAGAGTTGTAGCTGTAACAAACCTCTAAGTGCAGAAACACTTAGACTGCCACTGTACAACTTTAAAGGAAAACCAGCTTTAATTGCCATATCCACTGCGTCGTTAATGGGAGGGATTTTAATCTTGGAGAGGTTTGGATTCCCTTAAGAGCTGTGTCCTTCATCAAGACTTTGAGTTGATATTTCTCTGCCTCTTTGTGTGTGGCAACAGTTTTATCACTTAGAACATTAAAGTCAGTTTTGATGTAAAATAGATATTCATTTATTTACAGACACCTTATTAGATAATTAGCTGCTCACTTTGACAGTGGGATGAAATTAATGGGATGGAGTTTGCGTAAATGCTGCCGTTGTTGCAGTTAGGAGATAACAGCGCTACAGTGGTTGTCAGAAAGTGAGGCTCCAAATTGAGTGAGACAGAGGGGGGTATTTATGGGAATTCTTGGTGTATTCAGTGTACGAAAAAAAAAAGAATCGCAAGCAAAGACACCTGCTGGGAAAGTCAAGAAACCCGAGGGGCTGTTGCAAAGGCTGCATAGCTTCACATAACGTTATATGTGAATAGTAGTATCAAGCATGTGCTGCTGGATTGATCACATAGAGCCTCCGGTCACACTGGTGAGCTCAGCTCAGGCTGAGAAAATGCGTAACATAGATGAACTTTCCAAACAGGCACATATCCTGACTCCGTACTCCATAATGTGTACTTTTACTTAGATATCTTAAGAACATTTTCTTGATAATACTTAAACTGTATTTTTATTCAAATTTTGAATGCAGGAATATTCTTTATAATTAAGTATTATTGGCTTACTAGTTGCATATGTATATAACTGCATTATGTATTCTTTCATTTTAGCTAGAATTTTAATCAAACTTTATATTTTAGTCAGATGTGAAATTACATTTGGTTTCTCCATGATATTAGTAATCCAATATTAAAGGTGATCCAATATTAACATTACAAGTGAGTGAACAAACTGAGGACATTGAATAGTACAAGTAAAATTTTCCACTGTGCTGCCAGTTTGACTGAAAATGAGGAACTCTGTTGTCCTATAGGCATACAGTGTTGTTTGTGTCAAATAATTGTCTAATAGAAAATGCAACTGGGGGGAACCTTGTATTTTTATTGGATGTCAACTTAGTGAGACATTTAACATTTAACATTATTACTATTTTATTCTTATTTTCGTAATCTGATTAAATATACACAGCACAAAGCTTTTCAACTTAAATTATTCCACATTCTGCTGTTTTGTACACTTCCTCTTTATGTGTTATTTGTGTGTGCCTACATACTGTATGCATGTGTGTGCAAATGCCTGTGTGTGCGTGCCTTTGTGGTGTGCCAGCCCATGTCCATGTTAATGTTGAGTTATGCGTGTGTATCTCCAGTGTGACATGCAGAAGTTAACGGTTGAAGAGCTGAAGAGGCTTCTGTACGACACCTTCTGTGATCACCTTTCCATGAAAGACATCGAGAACATCATTATGACTGAGGAGAACCACATAGAGAACCCTGGGGAATGCCAGGTGGATATAGACAGTAAGGAAGAACCTCCATACTTCAACAGCATTGTTTATGATCTATTTCCGTTATTATTATTATAATATTAGTGCTTGTTACACATTAAAGGGTCACTTCACTCGCTAAAAACATTTACCTAATTTCTGCCACCACCCCAATACAGTGACTGTAATTTGTTAGGGGGGGTTTCAGCTTTGAACATTTGCATTTGAAAAACAAAAAACAGTAATGTGTTTCTCCATACATAATATCCTGGTTCTCCACAGCTTGGATAAATTTACCCTTTAAGAAGCAGCATCTCTCCTTTAAACTGAATCAAAATGACATAGCTTCTAGTGGGTTTGAAAGGTTATATGGCCATTACAAGCCACCATATATGATGATATATTATTTATGGAGGTGAGGATGGCTTTTGAATTGTCAGGACTTGCGCAAACAAAATATATCATTTGTAGTCTTTTCACTACACTAAAATGACAATATATAAATAAATAAATATTTTTTTCAATTAACACATTAGAGATTTCACCAGACAAATTCCTCCTTCTATTCTCACCATTTTGTGCCAATATGCAGGAATCACACACAGAGAACTGTGTTGTTGAAACTGCAGCGATACCAATTTTTCCAATCAGCAGACCCCATAGATCATAATGTACTCCAGCCAGTTATCAGCAGTGTATGAAATGCTGTGCCCTCTAAGGCAGCTGTTTTGTAATTTGAGCGGCCATGCACAGCAAATGGCCCCTCTCACTTTTTTCTCACCCCCCCCAAAAAAACCCCAACAAAAAATCACTACACTATTGCTAAAGCTCTATCCGCCTACACAGATACTGCATGCAGATTCCCCCCCCCAACACACACACACACACACACACACACACACACATTCTCTGGAGC